CCCGCGTCGCTCATCTCTACCAGCAGGAGATGAGGGACCTGCGCTCGCAGCTGGAGGAGCTGAACAGGGAAAAGAACCGAGTGCTGATCGAGAGGAACAACATGGAGGACGAGCTGCAGGTGAGAGAAAAGGGCAGGCTTGAAGAGGCGAAAGGAAGAAGTTTCTCCTCTGTTTGAATTTGAGTTAAAACAAACAAAAACATAGATTGTACTTAAAAATGGACACAAACATTTAAATGGATAGCATTAAAGAGATCATCTCCAGTACAGTTGTTACAAAGGGGGAAAATAAGAGGAACTGCAGTTTTTAGCTTTGTTCTTTCAGGCATGAAGGGGGCAGCTTGTTTCAGAGCTAGAATCCACATTAGAATCAAACTTCTAGCACTTTTTCACTTCTTAACCCTGCTGTTTTGTCTCATTTTAGAAGCTAAGTGCAAAGTATGATGAGGAGGTGAGAGCGAGGGAAGAAGCTGAACAGACCCTGAGGTCCTTCAGAAAAGACGTGGACGATGCCGCCGCTGTCCGCCTGGACCTGGAGCGCAGGGTGGAGTCCCTGATGGACGAAATCTCCTTCCTCAAGAAAGTCCATGAGGAAGAAATTGAGGAGCTGAGCAGCATGATGGAGGCGCAGCAGGTCTCTGTGGAGGTTGAGCTCGCCAAGCCGGACCTCACCTCAGCGCTGAAGGAGATCCGCAACCAGTACGAGTCCATTGCCTCCAAGAACTTGCAGTCGGCTGAGGAGTGGTACAAGAGCAAGTTTGCGAGCCTCAGTGAGCAGGCCACGAGGAGCAACGAGGCCATGAGGGCCAGCAGGGAGGAGATCAGTGAGTTCAGGAGGCAGCTCCAGTCCAAGACCATTGAGATAGAGACCCTAAGGGGTGCCAACGAGTCTCTGGAGAGGCAGATCTCAGAGATGGAGGATACACACAATGCTGAAGTCACAGCAATGCAGGCAAGCAAACAGTACCTTTAAAGCAGTCTTTTGTACATTATGTTATGATTCATGCATAAATCTACAGTTAAAGCAGAACTAGAACTACAAATTCCATGCAGTTTTTGTGAGACATAAACAGCAACAATAAGAGGCAGAAATACTGTGCTACTCATATACGCTCGTTGGATGAAGGATTTTTCGATCAAACCTGAGTAAGAACTGAAACTGTAAAAAGCCAAAGTTGAGACAACTTCTTTTAAAATCGTTTGGGAGAAATCTTGGAAGGAGGTCATAATTATCTGTAAACCTATAGAATAATAGGATTGAAAGTCTGCGGATATCAAGGTCAAGTTAATCATCAATTATGTCACAGCTTGACTAAAGCTTTTGGCTAACAGCACACAACCCGGTGTCCCCATGGTGTCAAGGATTTAGTACAAGGAATCCAGCATACAGATAATCCTACAGAATAATTGTGATCAAAGACTCTCTGAAAGCTGTTTTTTAAATTCTCTCAGGGTTTACCGTGACATTCATTCAATAATTAGATCAGATCGATGGTGTGCCTGTTAATTAGAACCCATTTCTTATTTTTTATGTATCTCAACTGCTCAACTTAAACCCAATCTGAACAACTCAACTGTAAACATAATGGAAAAAAATTTACAGCCACACTCAAAGTTTTAGCTAAAGATAGGCTTAGCCTTGGTTGTTTAAACCCATAACGTCCTTACACTTCATGTAACTATTGCAAATTAACAGCCCTCAGCATCTTAGTGGTGTTCGCTTTATTAAATATTTTCAGGCATGAACATGACATGCACATCTGATTATCTCTTTCACTAACTGAAATTTGGGGGCTAGGGTTTTATTTTTTGTGTCTGCCACTACCAAACCCACCACTGACCACTGGAAATTGACCACTCATCTTTATTTGAGAAGATGCAATATTCACTACAATATAGTTCAATGAAGAAGAAAACTACCACTTTCATGTTTGTGCCATTAAAAACGATGCTATGGCAGTGAGATTGTTAGCTTAGTTTAGCATAAATTAGATCATAAAGAAACAGGGGGACTCTGAGAGCCTCCTTATGAATCAGAAAAAAGACATATTATTCAGTGAGCTTTTGAGATGCTAATAAAAGCATTTATTACATTTGGAAAGGTCCATGCTAGTTTTTTTTTTTTTCATGTGCTAGGCTATGCAAGCTAGTTGCTAGCTTTAGCTTCAGAATTAGCAACATTTTTTCCTCTAACAACAAAAAATTTAAAAACAAATTCACAAAAAAATGTATTGAGGCTACAATAGGGGGACACTTGACTATCTTTAGCTGTGGCACAGAGTTGACCTTTGGTGTGTGGTCGGCAGTCTAATCAGCCTCTGTGGCTGTAGCAGTTCTTAGTGAATTAAGTCTGAATGTCTATTAGCTTAACATCTGACCTGCTCAGTCGGATACAGGAAGGCCATCTGGCTTTCACTGGCTTTTTACGGGCAGTAAAGCTTAGTCCAAAGGTTGTTGAAACAAAAAGGAAATCCCTTAATAAACTTTAGAGGCGTCTTTATTACAGGAAACTACAGGAAAAAGAAATATCACAGAAAATGACTCAGAAAACAGAAAAAGTACGGCTACTGATTAAAAAAAACCAACTCTATTTTGGTGTCATTCATTTGACAGTGGTGATATTCTACATCTATTGTCTCATTTCCATTGTAACAGGACACTATTAGCCAATTGGATACTGAGTTGAGGAACCTGAAGAGCGAGATGGCTCATCATCTGAGAGAGTATCAAGACCTGCTCAATGTCAAGATGGCCCTGGACATCGAGATCGCTGCTTATAGGTGCTAAGTGGATTCAAGAAAATGCAACCCTATCTTTTAGCTTAAAGAGCAAATAACATATGTATTGATTAAAGGTATTGCTTTAGTTCAAAGACCACGCAGAATAGCACTGTCTGATGAGGTTTTCCCAAAATAAAGTTCAAATAAACCCTCTTCAAGTTACGTGTACTCCTTCAGTCTCATTGAAACTATAACTACGAATACATAAATATCTTTACTAACAATTAATTGGCACGTCCGTGCAGTAGGGAGGCTTTAATTTACCCTTATACCAGTTGCAGAAAAGTAAATGTCAGTGTGTTAACCTTTTATTGAAGTTTCTCTGAAAATCAAACTGGCTATCTCTTGATGTACTCTATTTGTGTGCAGCTTGACATTTGTTTCCTATGATCCTATAAGGAAACTGCTGGAAGGGGAGGAGACCCACTTTAACTCAGGGATGTCCTTCAACTACAGCTACCAACCTCGAGCCTCAACCAGCTCCTCCAGGAGGGAGAAAGAAGGAGGCGCGAAGGAAAGCTTCAAAGACGTCAGCGAGGATAAAGACGAGGCGGACATCAACTCCAACAACTGAAGATATACGGGGAAATCTGACATCATAGTTGTTAAGTCTGAAACAGATGTTTTGGAAGTAGTCTCTAAAGTCAGTGTTTTGAGTCATAGTCAGCATCCTGTATTTGACATTTTTGTTGTAGTCTTAAATATCTCCATTAACAACCGAAGAGAGCTAACATGACACTCCAAACATTAACCTTAGTATTAAATGTTAATGGGGAATCTTTCATTTTGCTGCTGCAGTTTCATGCACTCAAACCTGTATGAAATGAGAGGAAATAGACATTGCTTAGAGTTGAAGGCGTGGCTTTTATTTACCCACAAATTAAGGTTGTCAGTTCCACTTGGATATCACTAAAATGATAAGCAAATAAAATTACATGACTGGAACTGTGGTTTCTTATGATGACTTGAGGTGGCAGACAGATGTTATACTTTAATGAATGGAACAATAAATCTAGCTTCTCCAACTTCTTTCGTGAGTTTCTAACAATTATCAACAAGCTCCTAATCATGTGTTAAGCAAATAACTGTCACCACATGCTTTCTATAATCTAATGCAGGGGTGGTGATCATAAGGCTTGGCTTTGCTTGGAAAAGACTCCAATCTGGCTCACTGCATGGCTTTGGAAAAATAGTTAATAGAAAATCAAATGATGGAAAGTTCCTGTTTTTTCCACTACCTACCATAGAAAAAATATTTGTGAATGATTTTACAAGGTAATCTGGGCAACCAGAACCTTTTCTACAATTTTACACATTTATTTCTCACAATGAAAGCCCAAAAAGTCGTGCTGGCATATTTCTTTCATTTACTATAGCTGCTTTGTTTTTGTTTTTTAAAACATGTAGAAACACAGATACAAGGTTAAAATTGTCCCTTTTCTTATATTAACCTCCTAGGACCTGGCGTCCACATATGTTGACATCACATTTTGGGTTATTTAGACCAAAATACTCAATTTTGCTGTACAAGGGCCTGATATCCACTCACGAGGACATTATACTGCTACTGTTCTATCAAAATTTTAAATAAATATCTTCATATGTGGCTCTTATTTTTGTTAGAAACAAAAAATCTGCTAATTCTTTGTTTTTACATTCATCAGGATCCAATCAGCCCAAATATCAAAGAGAAATTAAAAATACTGCCGTGGAAGAGTTCGGGTGTTAGGAGGTTAAAACATTTCAGAGACTAAATGAGCAGTTAAACCTCTTTACACTGACAAAGAGGAGAGTTTGACTTTGAGACGACAGTTGTGATTTGCCACTTCATATATGACTGACTTGAACTGGAACGGTCCACTTTAAATGCAAAATGAGTTTGACGTTCCTGATCTACAGGCTTTTATTGCACAGTATGTAGTGGCCGCATGTGCGTCACTGGTGGAACATTGACACTAGTGTCATTTCCCCCATAGGAACCATGTAGGTTAGGTGTACTGTTTATGGACAAGTGGATCCATAGTGTAACGGTTTACACGTTTGCCTAATGACAAGCAATTTCACAGATTTGAGCCCAGAAGGAGACAAATGCTTTTGGATTTTTCATAGGAAACTACTTAATACGCTAAATTATAAAATATGAACTATTTTAAATGCTTTAGTCCATCCATTCAGAGCTTTCTAAATCTCTAAAAACAGAGATCAAGGATGAATCAGGAAATATTTCTCAGTTGTGCTTTTATTAATTCAACCTGAAAAAAGCAAGTACAAACATTTTTTTTACCAAACCATATCAAAGACTTTATACAAACTCCCTTTAAATAACTGCTTTTGTACTCAAAGTATTTTTGAGCTGATCAGTTTTTTCTATTAACAGCAGAAGGAAGTCAACAGCTCTTAAAAAAAACTATCAAGCTCTAAGAAGCAAGCGTTAACATACATAAATCTTTGGTAGTGGCAGTCCTTTTCTTGCAGCCCTTTAAATCACAGCTTTGTAGTCAACATAAATCATTAAAGACAATCCCTGGGTTGCAAAAAGTTGGGTAAACTAGACAGATGCTGCCTATATTGCTATAGCAGCTTTAAGAGTTTCAGATCCAGTCACAGTGGTTCAGTCCAGTTTCCGCTACAGAAACAGTAGCAAACAGTTTTAAACAAATCTTCAAACAACAGCCCAGCAGGAACAGAAATGTGTCATCTTCATTTATCAGGTCAAATTCATGTTATACACGTGGGAACCAAGTAGTTCAGATGGATGTCATCTGTGTCCAGCAGATTTGTGGTAACTATGAACTAAAGATAATCATCTTGTTTGTTAAAAATTCAATCAAAACAGTTCATTTTCCAGTCTGCTCAATAAAGTAGTAATACATTAAAGTTTGCCAGGTGCCAAATGTGGCTATGTTCAGGTTTGAATTTTATATGTTTTGTAATCAGCTAGCAACAATTCATTAGAGTCTAATATCCAAGACCTTTATGAAGACACGAGTCTTATAAAGAGAAATAAAGACAGTCAGTTCAGCAGTTCAGATCATGGCTAAATCCACGCCTCATATTTAAGACTGGGAGGGCAGCACCAAGCCAAAGTGTAGCACCAACAAACCGTCCTGGAGGAAAGACAAACAAAAGCAAAGTGATTACTCACAGGATGATAACTCCAGCCTTCTGTAAAACTTCCAATGTTATTACAGGTTAGTCCTACTACGTGCTTTTCTGGTTCTAACCTGTAGTGCATCTTCGCCCACAAAGTTCTGTACTTCTTTGAGTGACTGGTAGTGATCTAGGAGGTGATCTCCACAAACCACATCTACCTGCCGGACACACACAGACAGCATTACAGACCATCACAGTGATGTGATTCCAAGCGAGAACATTGGGTAAAAATCTAGGCATTCAATCCAGACCCCCAAGCTGAGGTACAAAATTCTGGATTTGCAGTTTGTAACAGATGCTGACAAAGAAAAAGACCTACAGGAGGAGTGTGGCCATATTTATCAGGAGGAAAGGCGAAGTCTTTAATTTCAAGAAATCTGTACCAACTGTTAAACACGATGGTGAAAACAGCTTCAGTGGTTTAGATCTAAAAAAAGAGAAGGCTGAAGTTGGGACCTCAAACCTACTCACAATACAAAGCCTGTATTTAAGTCCTAGCTGTGCTAGCAAAGCAAGCATTTTAATGCAAATCCACAAATCCTGCGCAGAAGACAGGTCAAACCTCCTACCAGTTATCTTAACACAAGTATAATTTGGACACTTCTCAGTAAACGCAAAATAAAGAAAACTTTGCATAAAATTCATGAGTCCCCCCCCCCTCAAAGACATAAACATACTTCAAAGAAATTATTCTAATAGCGACATCGCCTTGACATTTCTCAGTGTGTAAACTTTGGAAGCAGGACGTAGACACTAGAGCAGGGCAATATGACCAAAAATATTTATCACAATATACATTTGAAAATTTGCGATAACGATATAACTGACGATATAATTGACACTAGACAA